GTTGTTATTGGTTCTATGAACTCGGTTTGCTCACACTGTAAGGCATTAAAATACAAAAACGAAGCCAATGGATTGTGTTGCGCAAATGGTAAAGTGAAATTGATACCATTGGATATAATAATATTATACCTGGAATCAATCCTCAAGGAGATTTATACGACGGAAACAAGGAAAACCAGTTCCAGGATATACAGATGTATATTCCACCGATGCGATTGGCCGGATTTATTCAGTACATCCAAGCAATGATGAATGTTTTTATTTACGACTGCTATTAGTCAATGTACGTGGCCCAACATCATTCCAACAGTTACGAACTGTTGATGGTGAATTGTGTGGATCCTACAGAGAAGCCTGTCAACGTTTGCAATTGCTTGAAAATGACGCTCATTGGGATCAAACTCTCAATGATGCTGTAATATCATCACACGCTCATGAAATACGAACATTGTTTTCTATAATCATATCTACATGCTTCCCATCAAACCCAATTGATTTGTGGATCAAGTACAAAGATTATATGTGTGATGATATTTTGTATCAAATACGGAATAGAATGGGAAATCCAAATATACAAATCAGTGAAGAAATTTACAATGAAGCATTGATTTCAATTGAGGACATGTGCTTGATAATGTCAAACAAACTATTAATTCAATTAGGCCTGACCGCGCCCAATCGTCCAATGCATGACGCTTTTAACCAAGAGTTGCATCGAGAAAAACTGTATGATCTCAACGCTTTGAAAGAATTAATTCAAACAAATCTTCCACTGTTAAATGAACAACAGAAGTATGTATTTGAAACTCTTATGAAAGTAACAAATGATGAAACTGGAGGGATTTACTTCTTAGATGCACCTGGTGGTACAGGAAAAACTTTTTTGATTTCATTAATATTAGCAACAATTCGCTCACAAAATAAAATTGCACTTGCACTCGCTTCGTCGGGAATCGCAGCAACTTTGCTTGAAGGTGGTCGAACAGCCCATTCAGCACTAAAATTGCCATTAAATATGCAAAGCAATGAAACTCCAACCTGCAACGTTTCGAAGAACTCTGCAATGGCAAAGGTTTTGCAGCAATGTAAATTGATTGTTTGGGATGAATGCACGATGGCACATAAAAAATCTTTGGAGGCTTTAGACAGAACCTTAAAAGATCTACGGAGCAATAATAACCGATTTGGTGGTGCAATGATTTTATTAGCAGGAGATTTTCGTCAAACATTGCCAGTGATTCCACGATCAACGCCAGCTGATGAACTCAATGCATGTCTAAAGTCCTCCAATTTGTGGAAACATGTCAAAGTACTTCATTTAAGCAAGAATATGCGTGTCGAGTTGCAAAATGACCAATCTGGAAACATATTCTCTAAACAACTCATTGACATTGGTAATGGCAAATTTCCTATAGACATGTTGACTGGCTGTATTAACTTTCCTCAAAGTTTTTGTCAGTTAACTCGATCAAAAGATGAACTTATTCAGAAGGTGTTTCCAGATGTTTCTCAAAATTACAGAAACCATGATTGGTTGAGCGAACGAGCTATACTGGCTGCAAAAAACATAGATGTAAATGAANGTATGGCTGCAAAAAACAGTTACAAAAAAAGAAATAATAATGACATGTTTGTAGTGAATAAAAAATATAATAAAATATAAAAATAATAAATTATACAAGAGAATTTGAATTTAAATTTAAAGCCAAATAAACATTCTGTCTGAATACAAAACGCGACATAGAAAAAAAATCGATATGATCCATAATACTGTTAGCCAAAGATAGAGTTCTTGGGAAAAACGAGGAGGAAGTATAAATATTTTTAGGAAGAGAAATATGAAAAAAATTTCGGTTCTGTTCAGGAGAATTTTTTTAAATACGTAGGCAAAAAAACTGCCACATTACAAATCTTTTTGACAGGACGAAGTCTGTCGGGTCAGCTAGTTAATTTTTTTGAACTTGATATTTTTTCTCTATAATAAAANAATAATATTTTTATTATAGTTTTAATTTTACTTAATTAATTAGCTACAAGTGATCAATTTTTATTATATAACTTTATTAGTTTATTAGATATATATATGTTAGACATATTATAAATATTTAAAGTTTCAAATTTTTGAGATACTATTCATGTATAATAAACAAGGGTTACAAATACTGGTAGCTAATTAGTTTTTTATGACGTCGATATTCAGATACGCAGCATTTATCATCAATGGTAGCAAGGCCATTTGGGCCTTTACCATTGGACCATTTGGACCATACCAATTGGCAATACAGAAAGCATATCTATTGATAGTCATAATTGATCTTAAAAACTCCATAACTGTAAAAAAACAAAGTTGACATCCTTACAAGGCTAAAGGGATGAACTTGGAATATTATAGTTTAGTAGTAGCACACACAAATAGAGTAAAAAAAATTATTAAATTACAAAGTAAAATGAAAGTAACTGTTTAATTGATAAAATAGAACTTTTTTCAATTTTTGAGGGTAATATCTTTAACTAGATACGAATAGAATCATTTGACGTATCGTTGAAAAAAGTAGGTCAAGTGAGAGCAGAGATAATAAATGATTGTCACAAAAAAATACCTTCTCACCTTTGCATCGAAGCTATAACCTAAAATATAGTAAATTTCTTCTTACAAGGGGCGACTACACTGATGGGATCCTTGATCTTTATTGAAGTTATTGAATGAGGTAAAAATCAGTGGAGTTGAAAATTTATTCCAACTTAAAAAGAATTAAGATAAAAATGCAAAGGGTTCCTTGCCATTCAAGGGTTGGAACATAGAACCCCAAGCGCGTAAGACATAAGTGTTAACGACTCGGCAACCGTACATCGCTTCGGTCGACTGAACAAATGGCAACTTAAGCTAATTTAAATGTCAAATAAAAGAGGTATATATAAAGTATTTATCATTAAAGAATATAATTGATTCATGCATTTTTAAAAAGTTATAGCAACATAAAGTTAAAAAATGTAAAATATAATATCAAGATTTTTTTACAAAAATAGCTTATTTTTGAATACGGCAGTCATTTTTACCATGAAGACAAGTCTAGAGGTCAAATTTTTTTTTTTCAAATAAAAGTATATTACATAAGCTTTAATTTAAGGTATATATAAAAGTGTCAGTCTTTCCGGAACATTTTCAAAAGTTAAGTTGAAAAAGTTGCCATATTGAAACAAATGAGCAGGTAAAGGGTCAAATATTCACAAAAATATATCAAATGATAGGTAAAGACATCAAGCATCTATAAAAAAAAATTATATTAATTTATTCATTTTTAAAAAAGTTATGGTAGTTTTAAGAAAAAAAAATTTCGAATATTTGCGATTTTTAAATTTGTAATTTTTTTGGGATTTCCCCCACTTACGGGGAATGAAGTCATTTTTTTCAATTTTTGAGGATAGTACCTTCGACTAGATACAATTTGTGATCTTTTGACATATTATTCATAAATATCGGTCCAGTGAGAGCTGAGATTGAGTGGTGACACAAAAAAAAAAAAAAAAAAAAACATCATAGTAAAATTAATACCTTCTCAGCTTCGCATCGAAGCTAAAAAATTTTACAGAACTATTTAATCAAAATGGAAAAATAACAAATTGAAAATCTTAGGGTCTTATGAATAAGGCGATTAATTTAAATTAAAATTAATTTACACACTATTGAAAAATCGTATACAATGGTTATATTAAAAAACTAGTACATAGATACGTCGACGGTGACGAACTAACTTCTATGATAGCCATACGGGTGGACAATAAGTGCCTGATAAAGATAAACTCAATAAACATTGCATAAATAATTTAAAATTTTGATGGATCGATATCAATTTTAGGACAAGTATTCATTGAGTTATAATCACTTTAATATATTGAGTGTATATAAAAGCCGATTATTTCAGTGGTTTTAACTGAAAAACAAGACCTATATTATAAGAGTATTAAATATATAATACTGATAATAAAATGTCTGGAGAAATTATATCATGAACACCAAAAGTTATAAATCATTGTTTACATCGATATTTAATAGTTAAAATTCTAATTTTACATTTTTAAATACATTACATTATACATTTGTCGTGTGCGAACATTAAAGTTGTTTCTCTCTGTATAAGGTACGCATGCGCACACGAGCAGTGTTTGGTCGCCCGGCAGCGTCGTCCATACGGCAAAATATAAGTATATTATTATTATTGAGGGTAATTTATTTTTAGAATTATTACGCTCGTCGTTATCGTCGTTTGCTATAATAGTATAATTTTATTATTATTATTTTCATTTCTATTTTCTACTGCGACCTTTAAAATAATATGTGTATTGTGTTTTATTTTACTATATTTAATTTGATATTTTTTTTATACCTGTAACTAGCGGTATTAAATTTAAAGTCGCATCCCCACCACCAACACTCACGAATCACCACTGTTAAAATAAATTAAAATATATATATATATATATTGTTGCATAACATCGAAGAATTATAAAATATATGTTAATTCCCTACTACTAGTATACATAAACTTACATACATGTACATTTAGTTTTATATAACGTAATCTTGGGAGATAAGAATAAAAAAATAAATAAAAAGTAAGTTAACATGCAACAGAAAATTATATATAATATTATTATACAGAAATTTCCGCGGGTCTTTGCTCTTGTTAAAAACTAAATAAACTTTTATGAAAATATTTCTATAAGATACTCAGTATTTAGCCTTTTAAGTTTTCATATAATATTGTACGTATAGATGATTGATATTGATATTAAAATAATTAATATGTTCCTTACTGTTTATCTTTTTAGGTATTACTTTTTTAACAGTTAAATATACTTGCAACAATCCCATATCAAACGAGAAATAAAATTTACTACACAAAAATCTAACAAATCTTAATTTTTTAATATTTGTAATTAGAAATTAATAAATAATTAATATATTTAATGTTGTTTGATAATTAAATTATTGAACTTACATTTATCAGGTTCAGAAAGTGAATTTTTCCTTCATTAGTATTCATAGACATGTTTTATATTTCCAAATGTCAAAAAGTGTTCTAAATTCATACAATGCGGACGTATTTTTTACTTCTCTTCTTATCTTACACTAAATATTATAATGTGTTTAACTAATCTCTTATTTAAAGTTTTCTACTTAATAAACTGTCTCAACCTTTAAATTGTTCGGCATGTTTGACCCGCTTTGCAGAATTAGATGTACCTGTAAAGTGTGATAGTTGCTCTGAAGATGTTCATAGTAAATATTTGAAACTTTCAGGAAAAATAAATCTTTAAAATATTTCTGTATGGCTTGCGATCAAGGACTTAAGGAACTACCTGAATTAAAAATTCTTATAAAAAAATTACTAACGGAAGTTGATGCACTTAAAAACTCAACGTCACAAAATTTAAAAAAAGAATCAGACTATGAATTTGTTATCAGTGATATTAATGAGCGCAACAGGCGTGAAGCAAATCTTATCTGTAACAATGTCACCGAAAGCGATTCAAATCAGTCTGAAGCACGCATTGTATATGATCGCGATCAGGTAAATGTCATTTTACATACTATAATCAACGAACCTAAAGTTACAGTGCCGGTACCGATAAAAATTGTTCGTCTTCCCCGTTATCAATCTAATAAACCTAGACCTTTATTGATTACATTCAATTCTGCATCTGAAGCGTTTGATATCATTAAAAATAAATAAAGCTTTCATCTTGTTTTCCGTCAATTTCTTTAATTTTAATTTTAACTTTAATTTTAATTTAATTCTTCGTATTTCAAATGGTGAAATTGGAATAACTATAAAATTTGTCAAAGGAGTACCAAAAATTGTACAAACATTCGAAAAAAATGACTATAATTCACAAAAAAACTTTTAAACTTACATGCTTTCTATCAAAATGTACGAGGTCTTAGGACGAAACTATTGTATTTTCGTGATTCTGTAAATAACCTTGAGTGTGATTTGTTGTTTTTATCTGAAACGTGGCTTAATAATAATATTAGTGATGCTGAACTAGGACTAGTTAATTATAACATTTTTAGATGTGATCGTGATATAAGTCGTGAAACAAGAGGGGTTGGCGTTTTAATAGCTATAAATTATAAATTTAATTGTGTTTTTTTACATTCAGAAAATATTAATATAATAGATTATACAGGGTGGCCCAGCACTCACTGACAACTTAAATAACTTTTGATCCAATTAATATTTTTAGCTGATTTTTTAAAAATAATAGTTATACGTTAGGTCTATAGCTATATCTTAATAATTAATTTTTTTACATTTTATTAAAAATATTAATTATTTTTAAATTTTAAATAAAATGTAAAAAAAAAATCTAAGATAGCTATTTTGTAGAGTAGAATTTAAGAAAAATTTTAATAAAAAAATATCTTATTAATATTCATTAGTAAATATTCTGTAGCATTTTAAAGTTTGTGAAAATTTGAATTTTCATGTATTATTTTACAGTATTAAACATTACAATCTTGGCATTAATACCATGATAAGAAATTTGATAAGGCAATTATTACTTATCACCAGGGCCGTCCCTACACTTTGCGGGGCCAGGGGCATAACTATATTTGCGGGGCCTACCAAAAAACTCTCTCAAAAAATTACACTCACGTAAGTCGTAATCTCAACCATTTCAAATGTTAACATACATAAAGTATTATTTCAAAAATAATATAACATTCTATTTCATTTATTTAATAATATAATATTGTCAAATAAAAATTCAAACTACATTTATAATATATGTAAATAGTTAATTCAAAGAAAACTTAAGATTATTTAAGTGCGTTAGCGCGGGGCCCAAACGAGGAGTCCGAAGCGCGGGGCCCCGCTCGCNGGGGCGTGGGCCCCGCTCGCCCCGGCCTTAGGACGGCCCTGCTTATCACTCTCATTCAAAAGTATAAGTCATTTTCATAAAAAAGTTACACACCTCCAAATTATAGTAATCATGAATAGATAGTGTTTTGTTGTTTCCTTTTCTCAATACATATTTCAATGGTTAATTGGGGTTAATGGTACATTTTTTTCATGGATTGCATCATACTTAACAAATCGTTCTCAGGCAGTAAAACTATTTTTTCATATTTCTGCTGATTTTCACGTATTATCAGGCGTCCCATAAGGATCGCATTTAGGACCACTACTTTTCTTAGTTTTTATTAATGATTTGTCACAGTTAATAGATAGCGACGTTAATATATTACTTTTTGCAGATGATGCTAAATTATTTTGCTCAATAAAATCTTTTTCAGATGTCGAGGTATTACAAAAACAATTATACAAATTTTTTTGGCGTCGTATTAAAAATTGCCTTCCTCTAAACATTGATAAGTGCAAAGTAGTTTCATTTACTCGTTCAAAAAACCCAATACTATTCAATTACAAATTAAATAATATTGAATTAAGTAGAGAAGCTGTTATTAAAGATTTAGGTGTACATTTTGAATCGGATTTATCTTATAAATTTCATCACAACTCACAATTAAATAAATGCTATAAAATGCTAGGCCTTATTAACAGAAATACTCAAGATTTTAAAAAAACATCCTGTTTGAAAACATTATACTGTTCCCTAGTTCGACCAACTTTGAATTTTGGCTCTATAATATGGTCTCAAAATCTTTCTACAAATTCAAAAGACCTTGATAGAGTCAAAAATTTCTTAAGAGGATAGCTTTCTTATCAAATTCAAATATATCTAGTGATTCATATAGTACTATTTAGGATTCTATTGGTTTAGATTCACTAGATCTAAGAAGAAAACTCTTTGATGTTCTATTTATTTATGACCTACTTAATGGTCATATTGATTGTCCACATCTTCTGGCTTTAATTAGAATACGAGTTCCCTCTGATAACTCTAGATCATCTGATCTATTTTTTATTCCTCACTATCGTAAGAGTTTGGGTGCAGTTTCTTTTTTTCCTCGCGCGCTAGTTATGGCTAATACAGCGTCCATTTCCGTCGATTTTTTTGATATAAATCGTAAAAAGTTTAAGTTAAATGCATCACTGGTATTAAGAAATAAAACCATTCAAAAGTTTTTAGTCTAATTAATTTATTTATTCTTAGTTATTTTATGTTATTCTCATACATTGTATTTTTTTTTTTTGGTGTTTTATAATAGTTTTAATATGTTCTTATTCTTATTGATTACTGTTTGTCTGTCATTATGTAATCTGTCAATATGTATTGTAATTTGTATATATATATTTATAAAAAGGGCTAATGCCCGTTAAATGTTTTTAAATAAATAAATTATTCCATCGTTTTTTTAAATTTACATGCTGTAATTTTAAATAATAACAATATTATTAAAGCGTAATATTTCAGAAGAAGTCTAGTAAAATATTTATTAGTGTTGTATTATTAAATTCTTCAAGAGGGTGTTATAACCGTTCAATGATTAGCCCAATATTTAACATGAATTTTTATAATTTATTTGGAAAATTTCGGTTCGAGTTTAGTTCTTTTAAAATCGAAGGAAATTTCTTATATCGTAAGAATGACTTGATAAAATGTGTTCATCAGATAACCATGACATAAATAAGTTTAACTAAGTATTCTTGGATAATAAGAATAGAATATAGAATATAGAATTGCCTATATTTATTTTGGGAACTATGTTACTACTATCAGCGTTGAATATAAGATTTTTGAATTAAATATTTTTATATTTTCAGTTTTAATTTAATATTTTAAATAAAATTAGCCATAGTATCAATTTGTATTATTTAAATTTAAATTTAAATTAAATTAGAAGAACACATTTTCATTTAATTACAAAGCGGATAATAATTTAAAGCATTAAAATAAATGCGATATAAAATAAATTAATTGTAGAGATAGAATCTTTATTTGCTACTCATATCATCAAAAGTATAATGATAGATTATTTTATAAAATTATTTATATTAGTTGAAAATTTATCTGAAACTCAATAAAGTTACTTTTATATATACTGTATAATTGTCAATTATTAAATAAACTCCTAGATTAAATTTGCTATATTTCTTAATGAGAAATTTTATCAATATTTTTACTAACTACTTTAAAAATAGATGAACTTATATTTTATTTTATTATTACTATTATCGTATTAACTGAGAATAGAATAAATACATTTAAAATAATTTTGCCCGTACCTGTGATTTTTCTTAGACTTTTTCGTTTTCAAATTGACTTAAACCACAAATGTTCTCAAACAAAAATTATTATTTTATTCGTATTGAATTACTAAATTTAGTGTAGAACGACTATCACAGATATACGTGAAGTCTAATGTAATTCGTATGCCATTTTTGAAGGTTACAGAATTATTTTCATTTTTCCCACTTTATAATATAATTATTTAATAATAATCGACTTACTCAACAGCAATGCCATGAAATGAATTTTGCTCAACTGGCAGGAAGTATTGACATAGCATATTAATTATCATATTATCTAATAATCATTGTTTAGAAGAACTATAACATTAAAGCAAATATTATTGCTGGTTTTTGTACATAAGAGTTTTATCATCTTTTTTATTTAAGGTCGGATCTTAAAAATAACTATAATTTTATTTTTTCCATTAAATAGTCTCTGCAATTAAATTATTGATATTAAACCCTCTAAACTTTTAATAACACGAAATCATGCCGATTGAAATATTTGCAAAAGAAGTGAGTGAGTACTCGTGACTCATTACGTAGAAACTGATAAGATAAAATAGTTGCACCGATTTCATTTCAATGTGCATGATTATAATAATAATCTGTAATTTAAAATATATAAAAATGTTAAAATAAAAATTATTGCAAATAGTGAATTAATTAATTATTAAAAGATTGATTTAATAAATTGTTTCTATGTTTGTAATAAAAATGTATTCATACTAAATACTAATATGTTATGAGTCTCATTTCAAATGAGTGTATCTATGATTTGAGGGTGTTTAACAATACATGAAATTCAAGAAAACACTATTATGTATATTGCGTATAAAAGTGTAGTTGAATAAGATAAATCATCTAACATAAAATAACAGCTCAAATGAATTTCAAACTATACGGGATGACTTCTTAAATAATCATAATATCTTAGAAAGTATTAGACCTTATCATTATTTTATTTTTTTAACAATAATAGTTCTTAACTGAGATGCTTTACAAGAAAAATCAATATTTTTCTCCCGCTCTTTTTTACCCTAATTTATATCAATTTCAATTTTTTAATGGCTAACTTAATTTTTTTTATATAATCAGATTTATTTAATTGAAAAATTAAATAAATCAAAATTGTTTTATTTAAAAAATCGTTTTACATTATTTGATTTTCAACGAGTTACAGCTGTTTAAAGATTAAGAGCGACTAGAAAAAATTGATTTTTAAAAAACAGCCAATAATGTTATGTAACAACATAGGTGCACATACGGGGGTACTTGACATCACCAAACCTGAAATTAGCACATCCAGAAATTTAAAGCAAAACATGATATTATGATGATAATAATAATTCATTATTGCCGTAAATTTGAGTTATTTTTATAATTTTTACATATTCTTTGATAATTTTATTTATAACTAATGTTCAGGTAAATAACTTCTTCTTCTTTTCCTCGTCTTAATCCAAACTACTTGGGGTCGGTCACCCTTATCCTAAACTTCCTCTTGACACGATTACCCACATCATCTTGATACGGTATAAAAGTTGTTTCATAATAAATTAAACCGTGATTAAAATAATTGTGGATTAAATTAATTACACCTTTAACTATAACAATATAATTAAAAGACTTGAAAGCACATATTAACAATAGTAAAGTCCGGTATGAAGTCAATATATATAATTCGACGGCACGTGTGGCGGATGTATGTCATAGGTGAACTGGTTTACATAGTTGCCGACGTGTCTCGCAGTGCTACACCCCCTGACCTGTCTTATCTACCGACCGACGGACAAGACAAACTTGTGTTGTCGTTAACACTTAAGACTGCGACTGTGGACAGCTGATAATGACGACAGGATAACGTGCTAATTCACTGTAAATGAATTGTGCGCCATTACGGGTCGTGTCAATCTATGCTCACGCCAGACGTCTTCATATCGCATTTAATTACATCCCTCCATCTCTTTTTTAGTCTTCCTCTACATCATCTTCATTCAACATTCACTTCTATAACGATTTCATTTTTATTTGATCAACCATGCGCTATACCCAAAAATATTTATTGTGTTTTCAATAATTCAAGATATTAAACAATAAGAAAAAAACTAACTTTATACACTATCACTAACATAATAAGTTTTATTTTAGTTTTAATTGTTATAGAGGTGCATGGGCAAGAACCTCTTTAGCGCTCAAACCCATGGTGCATTGAACTAATACATTAATTTTACTTCAATAATCAACTTAAATTTAATATATTTCTTAATTCCATTAGAATTCTAACAAATTGTAGAGGCTTCATAGTAACTAAGAAATTATATTTTGAACATCTTCATTGTTGTAAATCGATTCTCGCATTATTATTTCTCTTGATAATTTTAGAATTATATATATTAATAATATTTGTTAATATTTTTATTTTAATATTAATTTCATATATATTTTAAATATTCAAATTAGTTTTTTGTTCAGTTGTAATATTAGTTTTTTATGTTTTATTTAAACTTTTATAAATGTTTTATTATTATTTATTTATTATAAATGAACGCATAAAAGGACAAATTTATAATTGGTATTTTCCCAGTCTAATTATAATATATATAATTTTAATTCTGCAACATTATTATCGACACATTATATTAACTAAACGGCAAATATTTTATTTTTGATACTCTAATTTTTACACATTAGAAGTGTTTATTTTTATCAAGTTCGAAAACAATCAAAATAGCTTCCTTGAAACAATATAAGTATGCACTAAAGACAAATTTGCGTCAATTTATTTACAAAAATTATGATATCAAGAACTTTTGATGAGAAATTGATACATTATTTACTGCAACACAACTCGTATATATAAGAATAATATTTGTTTGCATGATTAGAACAAGGCCAAAAATAACAACTGTTACACGCAAAAGTCATTTTAATATTTGTAATGATAACAATGTTGTTAACATACAGAACATACAGATATATTAATTTAAGAAATATAGTGCCAGGTATTCGGAATTTCTTTCTACATATATCAACAAATTTTTCAAATCAACAAAATGTTGCTTTCGTGGTTGTTTTAAGATATCTCAAACACTCACGAAGAAACGATAAAGTGTTATTAATAAACCGTGTGTAATATTAAATAAAGAATAAAAAACATTCTATTCATATCTTTGAAAAAAAAACTATACTATTCAAAAATTATTAAAAATAAAAAAATAAATATTATTTAAACTGAACATTTATTGAGTACTTTTATTTTATTTTTCTCAAAATAAAATATCTTTTCCATGACTTGGATATTTTTTTCGGTATTAAATTACAACTTTTATAAAAAAATTATATTGATCTAATCTGAAATAATAATAATGTATTGTATACTGTAGGTAGTATTATAAACAATTATGTATAGTTTTTGAATTGTACTAATCATTAAACCGTTATGTATCATATTTATGTACTTTATATGAACTGGTTGAAATTTTATTTGTGACAAAATGACAACTACAGAATATATAAGACCAGAATAGTCACTTAGAAAAAGTTATATTATTTCTTATTCTAAAAAAATGACGTTATACTTCATAAATTTAATTAATAAATCACTCCTGAGACTGAAGCGTCTTTCCATTATTTAACGATACATATATACTAATCGATTTTTTATAAACCACTCAATTACTTACAGAATATATATAATTAAAATGTTTTTTTTTTTTGGTTATTTTTAATTTCACATTATTCTTGAAATATTAACTATGTAATACTTTTTAAGTTCATCCCTTATTCCTCGTAAGGGTGTCAACTTTGTTTTTTAAATAGGAACACACATTTTGAATTTAATAAAATGTTTGAGTTATTAATTTAATAGTAAATAGAATTTAAATTTTTAGTATTACTTTATATGTTTATTAGATATGAACATTTAAGTTTCAAATTTTTTTATATACATGTATAATACACGAGGAGCTAATTGTTTTTTTATGCCATTGCTCTCACAGTCACAGATTGTTTATTATCAATTATGAATATCAATAGATATCCTTTATTTATTACCAGTTAGTGTATTTATTAACTGATAACAATGTGCCTTACTACCATTGATGATAAATGCTGCGTATCTGAATATTGACGTCATAAAAAACTAATTAGCTACCAGTATTTGTAATCCTTAGTATATTATACATGAATAGTATCTCAAAAATTTGAAACTTTAAATGTTTATATCTAATAAACAAATTAAGTTATACTAAAAAATCAAATGTCATTTACTATTAAATTAAAAACACAAACATTTTACTAAATTCAAAATATGTGTTCTCATTTAAAAAACAAAATTGACACTCTATAAATGTTTATGTACCTATCAGGAACATTTAATGTAAGACAATTACATGTTAAATTAAAAAAAAAAATTTAATCTTCTAGAAAATAATATTTTTGAACTAAATAGATAAATATGATAAATAGTGATTTACCTGAAATTAGAAAAAAAAAATCCCAAACTAATGGACGAATAGTATTGTGGTGCCAATATTTATAGATAAAGGAGACATAGTATGAAAATTTGGGAAAAGGTAATAGATAAGAAAATAAGAAATGAGACAGAAATAGTAGGAGTGCACCCAAGGTTCTGCTTTAAGCCCTTATTTTTTATAGTGATGGATGAAATTAATAAAGAAATACAAGGAGAGGTGCCGTGGTGCATATTGTTTGTTGACGATATAGTGTTTCTAGGAGAAAATAGGGAGGAAATAAATCAAAGGCTAGAGGTGTGGAGATCAGCTCTTGATGAAAAGGGTTTAAAAATAAGTAGGAATAAGACAGAGTATATAGAGTACGAGTTTGACAAAGGATTACAAAAAGTATATTAAAATTAAAAATTTAACCAACTCAAATTACATTTATATATTTTCATAACATATCTTGATACTTTTTTGGGATTTAAAAATATAACATGTTTTAGTTAAATACTAAAATTAAGATGAAAATTTGCTAAAACGAACAATATCTTAACACCTTATATTTATCACATACATTTTTTATCACTTGTAGGTTATACTGAAAAAAATCGAAATTGATATAAAATGACTAAAATTTTCAGACTGTAACTATAAGTCACTACCAAAGTTGTGAATTTTAATGATATTTGAATTTCTGAATTATAAACAATAAACATTAACATAGTAATGTAAATTATAATGTACGATTCCAAATATTCAAATTAAAAAATGTTTATGTAATAAACTGTAAAAATAAATATTTAATAAGTAAAAAAATAATTTTTTTGGTTTTGTTAAAAAACAAACAATTGGATGTTCAGATTTAGAGATATCTTATTTACTAGTAAATTACCATAATAAGTTCACTAACTGGTCATTTTAAAATGTATTCCTTGATATATAACTGTATATATTTATGATTCGTATTTCTCATGTTAAAATTATTTTTGTGCAACCTAATTATTCATACAATGTTTTAAATACATACAATATTTTTTCATTATTTATGTCTGTTATTTAACTACAATTTTTTGTTCAAATAAATAACTAAGATAGAAGATAATAATTTTAACAATTATTGTGCAATGATATTTTTCTTAATTGCCATTTGGGAACATAACTTTTTAGTTTATAAAAACTAAAAACATTGGACGATTCAATGTGTTTAACAGTAAACGAACAAAAATGAATATTATTTTCGTTGTTGTTCTATGGACATACGTCAAAAAATCACAACCAGTAAGTTATTTAAAAGTTAAAAAATATGTGTTATAGACAAATTATTTAGACGCAAGCTACAGAAATGATCTAATAGTTAAACATTTGGTGTTCGTTTTTCACACACAAAATTACTCACATTAAATCTAATGCTCTCACAGGTGTTAACAATGTATTTATTAAACTAGCAAACAAAGTTACGCAAATTTCGACCCATGAATTTATTTTATCTCCTAGTTGGTTATATATTTGACATTTTCCTAACCAAATGAACGACATACTTTTATCAAAAAAAAAAAAAAAAAAAATGCTTATACCATACTATTATTAACTATTTATGTTGAAAAGATAATATTTTTGTCGCTTAGTGAGGATTTGTAAAAAATATACTAGGTTTTTGTAGTAATAATGAATAAATCAATAATTATTTTTTCATAATTCAATTATTTAATTGAAATTTACGATAATTAAGAAAAAGCATGATTGATTGTAATATTGTGATAAAACTGAACAGCTCAATAAAAAACTGAATGATATCACGATTAAAATTTGAATTAATAATAACCCGTTCGTGTCTAGTAAATATTATAACGATATATTTCTTTTTTGCGTAGAGATTCATGGTTAACTTATATAGATCAAATTAGTGATTTACCTAGAAATAAGACATATCTTATATATGTATCGATAATAATTATAAAAAAAACGTACAAGTAGGCAATTTAATTACTTCCATATTTTAGTTTTAAATACATTTTTAACACTATGTGCAGTATAATATTTCAGTATATATTAGCCATAGAAAAAGTATACACCTGCGATGACTCTATAGCTCGTTCTTTTGTTAGTATTCATTATACTTATTCTCCAAAATTAACAAATGGAAATGGATATTTGGAGATTTTAAAAGACGTAAATTCCAATGATAACTATCAAGTATGACTCTGATAATATCATGACTTAATATTAATATAATTAATAATATAACGCTATATTTAGATAAGTGGTGATGTATATAAAAAATCAGAGGAAAAATGGATCAAATACGAGCCCTTAACCCAAAAGAAAACAAATTTATGTGTTTATTTATTCACAGATTTATTGTTTTTTCCATCAGTTCGCAAAGTTGTTAACCTCCAAGAGCGTTGTCCTTTGATGCAGGTACACACATTTTTCATAAAAATATGGATGTTACCATTAAAAAAAATAAAGTGGTACACTTAAAATAAAGGAATAGACCTAATATAATTTCAATCAGTTATTAATGGAGACATTAATACATTATGATAGTATTCGATGAAAACTGTAAATATATAAATAAACAAGTATAGCTTTTCTCAGCAATTGAACTACAATGTGTTAAAATTTTTAATTCAATTTTTCAAATAGTTCATTTCATTAGGTACACACTTTCAAAAAAAAAAAAAAATAAGAAGTATACATTTTATGAAAAATTAGGTCATATGTTATTTTATATTTTGAAAGGTAAATTCTACAAGATTGTAGTAAGACTAGTTATGATGTATGATTCAGAGTGTTGGGCGGTTGACAATAAATTAGACCAGAGAATGAGTGTAGCAGGGATGAGAATGCTTAGATAAATGAGTGGAGTGATCAGAGAAAATAGGACAAGGAACGAACATATAAGAGGAATTATATGTGTAGCGACAATCATAGATAAGATGAGAGAAAATAGACTTAAATGGTTTGGTCATGTTAAGAGAAGAATCGGAAGACGTAAGAACAGTTGTATAAATGAATGTTAAAGGAAGAAGAGGTAGAGGAAGACCAAAAATGATTGAGGGATGTAATTGAATCTAATATGAGATCTAATAGATGATGTGGGAGATCGTGTCAAGTAGAAGTTTGGATAAGGGTGGCCGATCCAAAGTAGTTGGGATTTAGGCGAGGAAAAAGAAGATGTTATTTTATATTTTCAGCAACCAATACCAATTATATTAGGGAATATTGGAAAATCCCAACCACAGAAGAATACCGGTATTCTCATTGTTTAAAATATAATTACTAGAGGTAATAAATTAATTGTTTTTTCGTCAAAACAACATTTTCATTATTTCGATAACGTTCACTTTACAAAATCATAAAATTTTCAACTTAATTTTTAGATAGTTGATGGTAGATAGTATGGTAAGGCCAATAAAATCTTGAAAAAACCTTTTTGGTACTCACATCACTTAGTCCTGTCCCGCTTCAAATATCTCCATGATGTACAAATTTTGTGAATTTTTATTTTTAATATTATTTGTCTAATAAATAAATAAATTATTTTTATAATTTTTTATTAGGGAAAATATCCATTTCGTATGGGCAAGATTTATACCAAACATCACCCTACGTTACCATATGGTTGTTGGAAAGTTGTTATAGATATTGAGAAGCCAGAAATAAACAAAGCCGAAAAAATTTGTTTAGTGTTTAATTCTGAACATTTATTGAAATCGAACCATTCAATGTGTGAATAAAACAAAATAATTATTAAATATATTAGTGCATTCAGCATTTCATACTAGAACAAAGGATTTTAATTTAAAAAAAATAGATACGCACTTTAATACTAAAAATAAATAATGTAAGGTTAACCTTCTATAATATTTCCTGACTTTTGTGAATGGATTTAAAATTTTGCACGAGAAGTATTATATTATATTTATATATAATATAATATTTATATTTAACATTACAGAACTTTTTCATCCTTTAAGGGTTGAAATATGAATTTTCCTTTAAAATGTCATTTATGTCGTCTATTCCCAGCTATTGGATTTGTTGATGAAACCTACAGTAAAACTTTGTAACCAAGACTATTGTAAAAAAATAAACAAATACAAAAGATATCGCAAAATATTTTTTTTTAATTTGACGATTAAAACGAGGCATTTATTTGCATTATACCAAATAGACATCATGTTCACGAAAAAAAAAATGTAATAATTATTTATTAACTGTATTTAATAATTAATTATTAGTTTAATTAATTCAAAACGACTTCTACAGAAAATTGTAATAAATTTACTTATACAATTTATTTATAACTATATTTAGTTTTAAATTATTTCACTTTTGCCAGGAAACACATGATGTATTACTTTATAAAGTATATTAAAATTTTAAAAATTGAATACGAAAATGTTCTAACGAATTAAGAATTCTATTTAAAAAGCATATCATATCAGTTAAAAATTACTAGAAGCCGCAATTATGAACAGCAAGTAAAAAGAATAAAGCATTTTATTAAGAACTAAAAACACCTGATATTTTATTTGTAAAATTAACATATAAAAATTATTGTTTCTATATGGAATTAATTATTTGTTTATGTAATTACTGATTATTTTATCATGGATCTCTCAATTAATCGAATTATATAAATCATTTCAAAAATATTTATTTTGGCTGATATTAGCTGACGATTCAAAAATATTTTAAAACATTAGTTGCCTAGATGATACATAAAAATTGCACAATGATTTAAAAATATATTATTAATGTTGTCATCCAAACTCTATTGCATTGAATCTGAATAAATGTTGTAATATAATTTTTTTTTTTAAAGAAATTCTGTTAAATTCGATTATTCTCTAAGACGTATAAATTAATAAGAGTTTCTGCACTTGATCTTGGAGTAATATATGACTCTAAACATTCTCTTAATGTCCATGTAGATTAAAAAAAAAAATTACGACAGACCAGGTTTTTTTAACGTTACTGTCAGCATTTTAGAAATGAAGTTGTGTTGAAAATTTTGTATAATTCATTTTGGTTCTTATATTAATTATGCTTTCTTATTTAGCACCCATTTTTAGTAACACAAATTCAAAATTTGAACAATATACAATATAATTTTATTACATTCTTATGTTATCAATGTTTAATTTATGGAGTTCTACATTCCGATTATTATATTACAGTACGTTTTTTAATATCCAAACACTTCAACAGAGATTTTTGCAAATCAAATTGAAATTTCTTTATAAATTTCTAAACAATATAAAGCCGCACTAAATTATTGCAAGATCAATGTTAAAATAAATCCAATATATTGTCCCACTTCTAATGTATTTTGTATTTTAATATTATAATATACATATACATAATTGTATATTGATAATACAAATAAAAATTATTATTAAAATGCATTAAATATTTAAATGTCAGTAAAAAATTCTATAAAAAAAACTTAATTTTTTTTTTTTGTAAATCATCAAATATTTTTCTGTAAAATTTGTTAAAACATATATAAAATTCTGTAACTGATATAAAATGTTAGATATGATAAATATGTTAACACTTATGTTTAAAAAAAAAATGTACTAGATTTTTAATCAATTTTTTTTACTCTTACTGTTATTAAAATATGATTTTTATTATTACCATAATTTTTGGCCGACCCCAAGTAGTTGGGATTAAAGCGAGGAATAAGAAGTAGATTATTACCGTATATATAATATATACATGTTATTATTATAATATATATTATAATATTTGGACGGAAATTATGATCATATTTTGGTAAAACCAGTTTTTATTTTACTGCAAAATCATTATTTGGATTGTTCTAACGATTACGCCGTCGCATTTTATAATAACTTATCTTCTTAACAATTAAAAAATACGATTGCTTAACTGTTAAAATTGTATTTCAATAAAAGTAATTTAAATATTGAAGGTCGGGTATGATTTCCAATCAAAATATTTAAAAATAATAATTAGAAATTGTAAAAATGAAACTACTCAATGATTTATAAATATTTTTAACAATAGTTAAAAAAATTGACATTGAGTATATGATAGCAGGAACACATTAAACATTTTTATTATTATAATCTGTTCAATAGTTTTGAGTTTAATATTTTTAGTGAATAGTAAAAGAGTAGTAGTGGTATTGTTACGAAAAAATGAAATTTGCTGTAATTTTTTTATTATTATGGTCTTATTTTTATAATTCAAAATCTGTAAGTAATATTAATTTTATATAACAAAATAATGTACATTATAAATGTTAAAATAATGAAATGGATTTCTTTAAAATATGTGTAAAACAAGCATCTTAAAACAGACGTTTGTCTTAATTTTATCTAAATAGACTATTTCGTTTACTATAATTTTTAATAAAATCAAATAACTTATTTTGGGTAAAAGAAATTTTAGATTTGAATATTTAAATTTTATGTTTAGAGATATTCTTTCCCTTAAAATAATAATTATGCCAAAATTATTTTTAAAAATTATTTGTTTTAATTTTTTTTTAATTCATCCCTTGTACTTTATAATGATTTTAACTTTATTTTTTTAATGGAATTGTACATGTTTAATTGACTTATAAAATAAAAAATGATCTAATTAAGAAAATGACAGATTGATAACATATTTTGGATAAGTACTTTGGTAATTATTAATTTTTTATATCTATCCAAGAAGAGGAGTGAAACATCTAAAATATAAATAGTCACACATTTTCAAAATAATGTGTCGAAAATTATTATCGACTAGTCATTTTTTAATTAGATCATTTGTAATATAAAAATTTAATTGAATATATATTTTACAATTTAAAAAAAAATAAAGTTGACACCCTCTATTTTTCCCGTTTCCTTTAAATTGGGGAATTTTTTTTTAACACTTTAGGTATTCTATACTTTGATATAAAATTTTGGAAATCTGAACCTTTATCTGCTCAGGGAGCAATTAAAAATAACAACTTTTTCAATTTAACTTTTGAAAATATTTCGGAATTACTGCGTCCTTTAAACATAAGTAAAATTAAAATATATTACGTACTTTCAATTAATAAAAAATCTATACCGACACCTTGTTTTCTACAAAATACTAATTCTACTACACAATATAAATATTATGTATACTACAAAAAATGTTATTTTGGCGTAAACATTTTTTTCGTTTTATTATCATTTTTTATTTTAATTAATTTCTCTATATTTTAGATTAAACAATATAATTCTATTGGAGGGAAGAATAATTACCTCATTTAACTTGCCTTTAAAAAAAACTAAATTGATTTAAGTGATAGTTACAAATATTTTCAGAGAGTATTTTTGCATCTTTTAACTGTCAATTTGACATGAATATTATTAGATTGGGGCTGCCCTTTTCAAAAATATGTTCTAGCTACTAATGATTTTTGATAAATTGAGGTAACGAAAGACAGAGTAATTGTTTCAATAGCTACTTTATAATTCAATCTTATCTATTCAATTTCTCTTAAAGAATAATTATTTTAAGAAAATTATTGTTAGTTTTAGATTCACATAAAACTATAAATTTTTGTAACTTCTCTATAAAAATTATAATACTAAATTTTTCAATATCAATTTCATACTAAGTTTAATTACTGTAATATGTAGTTATTCATGTATTATACTAATAAATCATACAACTTGTCGTCGAGATATATATATATATATATAAATAGAAGTTCATGTTACTTTTAGAATAATTCAATAATTTATTCTATAATCAAACACTATCTACATATTTGAATCGAAGCATTTTTTATAATAGTGATTTTAACACTGTCAAATATCATCTATACTTGTCTCCACTATGTTTGATATTTAAAAAATGATAACACACATATTTAACTAACTAGTAAAATAATAAATGATCTTATTAAGAAAATGACGGGTCGATAAAAACTGTTAGACAAGTATTTTGGAAGTTATTAACATTTTTATATCTACGTTGGAGGAAGAGGGTAACCGAGAAATTTCTAATGATAATAAAAGTCATACCTTATCCTCTCCCTCAGTCTACATTTTAAAAAATAAATCCGAACTATTGGACCAAAAGTTATTATCGAGTCGTCTTTTTCTTAATTAAATAAGAATCGCCTTGCATTTTATTATATAATAAAGAACTTAATGTGAAGAATAATAATTTTTCAGTTCATATTACTTTTTGAAAAATTATATAATTGTGATAATGTTAGAAACAGAATAATTTTTAACTTAAATTATAACTATTCAACCGCAACTTTTAATGGTAATGGATATATGGATATTCTAGACCGGATAAACCCTGAAGATAATTACAAGGTTAATAATAAAAAAAAAAATTTTCAGTAAAAAAAATTATTCATTTGCCTTTTTTATGGATAATTTACAGATAACAACTGATATATACAAAAAAATTGATAACGAGTGGATAAAAAATAATTACATAAGTCGACCAAAAGCTAGCCTGTGTATTGAAATACTTGCAGATTTTCTAGTGTTTCCTGTTGTGCATAAAGTCACGAGAATTTCAGACCATTGTCCCATAATTCAAGTAATTATTATGTATTAGGACTAAACGAGAGTAAAAGGGCTATTTTTTTAATTTGAATTTTTATGATATTAGATATTGACATTATATTATTATAAAATCTATACACAATATAATTTATATATTTATTATATATATATATTCTTACAGATTAATAGATAATTAATAGAAAGGCATAGAATCAATTTTTACTTTTTATATCTAAAAATCACATTTTACTTACGTTTCGTAAAATTAAATTTAATAATTAAAATAATGAAATAATTTTGATAAAAATTTAATGCTTAAGAAAAATATTTTTAAACAGGGTAGATATGTTATTCAAATGAGCAAAATACACACAAAACATCATCCGGTCGTACCTTTCGGGTGTTGGAAATTTATAATAGAAGTAGAAAAATCAGAAACCAAACATTATGAAAAAGTTTGCGGAGTAGTAAATTCTATAAACTCAATGAAGTCAAATAATACTATAAAGTGTGATTAATAAAGTTAAAATAAAAATTGTATGATGTATAAGTAGTAAATCAGATAAAACTTTTGAAAAACTATGTCCTAAAAAATTATTTTTATACCATATTATATTACGAAGATTGTGGATAGACAAAATGACGCTGTTAGAATATCTTTCATACTGAAAATAATTAAGATAATACAGAAAGCATTTTTATTTTGATTGAAGGAGTAGTAAAATATTTTTTTAAGGTA